GTGCTATTTAGCAAGAGAAAAGGCTTGAATGTAAAATGGGAAGTAGTTAACGGTCCAGTGCTAATGTTCTTTCATGATCCACTGTAGATCCAGAGGCAATAGCGTGGAAATCTAGTTGTACCAACACATAAAACCAGAAACTTGAGTTTAGAGCCATTCACTAAGACAAAAAAAAAAAATTGACATGGCAGCAACATTACGACACAGCTGTAGCACGCGCTTAATCCCATGAGACGTGCCTCCGTACGGGAAAAGCTCTTTTCCAGCAGCAGTCTTGCATCATTTTGGAACAGACCTCATTATAATGTCCTCGGCCCCGCCGCTCCTCTTTTCCTTCAACACCTCTGCTCCCTGCTCATCTCCTCCTCCTCTACCCTCTGTCCTTCCTTCTCCTTCCTTCTGCTGTCTCTGCGTGACAGCTGGTGGGAGCTGTAGTCAGCAGCCCCGGTCACGCTGCAGCAGGTGTGTGTGTGTGTGTGTGTGTGTTTTTGGTGCCCATTGAGGGTAGACTGACTGACTGTCGGGTGCGTGTGGACAGCGGAAGCTGGCTTCCTGTCTGCAGCTATTGTAGACCGCTGGCGACGACTATTAAAGGCCCTCGGAGACCATGCGTGTCCGTATCCCCAGTGTGCATCCTCCCTTTACCTTTAGCACCTAGAGTGTAATAGTTATAGAATAGTACAGTGTAACTACGCTGACAGGAATACTAATCGGTTAATGTAATTCTAGCCTTTATCACTACTATGTGGGTGGCTCCATCTGGCCGTGCCAACTGCTCAGCTATGAGTGTGTCTGTGTATGTGCGTCTGTGTGTGACTGCGCACATATGTCATCATACTAAGATGACTCGAACAGCGTGTGAAGTGATTCAATAGGGGTCCATCTGACGTACATCATCATTTTTGAAATCATGGCCCTTCCCGAGTTTGATCGGATGCCCACATGAAGAAGAAAAGATTGTGTATGTTCTTAAATGTAGCCGGCATAGCAGCCTCGGTGTTTCCTCCCGCTCTCTAATTAGCAAACAGATCCCCTCTGTCCAGCTGTGTGTGTGTGTGTGTGTGTGTGTGTGTGTGTGTGTGTGTGTGTGTGTGTGTGTGTGTGTGTGTGTGTGTGTGTGTGTGTATCCAGCTGCATGGTCTCCAGTCTCTTATCGGTGTAACCACTGGCCCGTAGTTAACAGCAACTATCAGCCCGTCTGAACTGCCCAGGCCACATCACTCTCTCTCCCTCCGTTTCTCCCTCCACCCTCTTGTTGTTGCGTCTTCACTCCGTCACGGTCCTGTTTGTTTTATTTGAGCGCATACTATAGATGTTTCACATATACCTTTCCAACCATTTCCTCACTTCCTCCATCTCTCCATAAATCACTCATTGACATTGAATCAGCTTTCCCTCCAGCGTCTGATGGCAGGCTGAGATCTGTGTGAACATGTAGACTGAATTAGTGTGGTTTCATTTTAACAGTCTATCTGGTATTTTTGGTACACAGAAGACCGTGTCACATTGATTCCTGCTATTCTCTCATTCCATCAAATAATCACATTATTACATTGCAAAGGCACTCCTGTTGTATAAATACAAGTAACGTTTTCCATCCAACTTCATGCAAAGGCCTGAAGGGGAAATTGTCTAGCAAACTTATTTAGCGACTCAGTTAATTGCAAGACCAGTGAAAAGCAGTGGTTACTCACACAGGGTGTTATTATTATATTATACAATTAGAAAGGCTGTGTATATCAAATAATGTATAATAAATAATTGTTTTGCAGTATGCGCTTTTTTTCTGCCTTCTTACAAAATGTTTGAGACACACACACACACACACACACACACACACACACACACAGAGAGAGAGACGTACGCTCTCCGGGTCGGCACATTGCGACATTCCAAAGAACAGTCCAGAAGGGGGTTGAGGACGGAGACGGACTCAACGTCAAATTGACTTCTGTCACTGTCTCACACACACACGCACACACACACACACACACAGACCAGAAACTGTCACCTCTGTCCCAAATGTCTCTTGAACATTGAGACAAAGGTTCACACAGTTGGCTGACATATCACGGACCAAGAGAAAAAGCTTTCTTAGGGTCGTGTGACTGGGACTGTTTCTTACAAGTGTTATTGTTACAGCTCAGCAGACAATCCATAAACCGCTGTGAAACTATCCATTGATGTTAAAGCCTTTCATATATTCTTACTACTGTGGAACGTGGGCGATTTCCTTGGCCTTCCATTTGTTGGTCGTTAATAAACGCAAAATTTCCATGGCCAAATTTGCGCACTTGCTCGCTGGACTTTAACAACAACAGCAAATTACCTCAGTTCAGCATTGTTTGTACACAGGTGCACCAAGGAGTCACGCCTATAGCCTGTGTGTGTGTGTGTGTGTGTGTGTGTGTGTGTGTGTGTGTGTGTGTGTGTGTGTGTGTGTGTGTGTGTGTGTGTGTGTGCCTGTTCTATGATGTTTAAAGGTTGGTGGTTCACAGAAAATGACAAGCCTGTGAAACAACCCTGTTACACAGCAGCTATTCCCACTGGCAGCCAGCTCTCACACACACGTGCTACCAATGGAGCTATTTCTATCCAGGGTACTTGACGGAGTAGACGATGCCTGTTAGCAGCCATTTTATCCTCAAAGCAACAGAACAACAATTTTACAAACGGGCAAATTGGCCTGATATTCAGATCTGTCAAACATCTCAGCCTTTATCGCTTCCTCTGACCACAAGTGATATGTGAGCTTCCTACGGTTCAATATGTAACGATATCAATATAATCGGATCAACTATTTTCACAGTATGGCAAAATGCCCAAATCAGACAAATCTCTTTCTCATGGGAGAAAACAATATACAGCCGTAGGTTGTTAACCCAAGTATTGACTTAGTCAATTAGTCTGTGGATTCCACCTGCATGTTATCTGTGTCATATTCTCCCCAAAGGGTATGAAGTGTCAGCGGCTTTATAATGGCAGGAAACAAAACCGTGTTTAGCTTGCAGCTGTTCGAGCCCGGGTCAGATTGTAGAAACACACAATACACCATCATACATACACTGTTCCCACAGTCACTGGTTGTCATGGCAGAGGCCACATTGAGGAGCTACCTGCTGTGAGACGGAGAGACACACAACACCCTTTCACATGTGGAGTATGTGCTATTGCTGATTAATTTAAATTCAACCAAAGATGGTTTAACCAGTCTTAGTTTCAAGGCTCAACCACCCCAAATGTCGTCCCGTTGATGCTCACGGTTTTACACACAAGCAACCATCAGCAAGCAGGCCTCCAACTCTACAGTAACCTCTTAATGAGAAACATTTGCCAGCACTAGATCCTGCTTCTTCGGCCCGTTGGCCTCCTTGTGGCACCCTGGCATCTGTCCGCCACACCCTCCAACAATAACAAGCCGCCACAGTGAGGGCGGGATGGGCGGACGGACGGACGGACGGATAGGATGACTAAACAAGTCAACGCAGGAATGAATGAGCATTATGGTGTAGTATAACAGAACAGTCTTTTATGGGGTGTAGTAGCCACACCCTCTGCAATAACAAGCATGTGGGGTAAAAAAAAAAAAAAAAGAATGAATGAATGGATAGAGGGGGGAAGTTGAGGACATTATGGACTGAATGGGACTGACTTATATTATGTCTAGGTGAAATGCACTAAAAAGTTGTAACTTTGCCTTCTAGAATGAATTAAGTCTGTGTTACAGTCTGTCTCCGCCTCGTCCTTCTTTCAGTAAGCAGTAAAAACACACATTGAGCCGATTGTGGTCTTTCAGAGGAGGAGGACAGATGTAGATTGTCTGGAAACCAGTTAGTAATCACACAGTGATTGACCCAAAACTACAGATGCTGTTGACTGGATTAGTATTTTAGAGCAGATACAAGAGTAGATATTTCTTTGCAACCCTGATGAATTTGGATAAGTCTGACAGACATACAGAGCTTTGCCTGAAAGAGACTGAAAATGAAAATACTTCAACGTTTCTTCACACAAGATCCTGTGGAATTTCGCCATTCAGCTCTAATTCAGAACATATGCTCTTAACTCGGGGCCAGTCGTCGCCCCCCCCCCCCACACTTCAGCTCAGTCTAGGTACACTGATCACACAAGGTAGCTTAAAAACATCTTACACCAACACGAAATGTTAGGATGAGGCTGAATTATGGTTTAACGCCTGGTGCTGATATCTTTCAGAAATATGCATTTCCTTTTCCATTCATTTTTCCTTTGTACCATCCTAATCACGACCCGGGTCGTAGGCCAGATCAGCAGCCTCATGCATTTGTTTTTGTCCTCCGGATTGTAAGAAAGTAAAAGACAATTTTGTGCGTGTTGTTAGTGAGTGTGAGTGAGTGACAGCTCAGTGTGTGTCTCTGCATGCAGCGAGGGCTGTGCTGGCAGCAGAATGGCTTGCTCTGTTGGGAGGAAATTCACACTTCACACCAGATAATCGCAATCAAACTGTCTCTTAACGCGCACACAAAAGCATGCGCACACTAACCTCTCTGCTTCTGATGCACTGAGCACAACGTTGCACGAAATCCAAAAAGTTCCAGACAAGATACCAGTGCCCCATCTTGTCTCTCTCACACACATGCCAACACACACTCAAAAAAAACACAGACACACACACAGTATCGAGTCAGTCCCACGGATGAACAGACTAGTCATACTGAGCAGCCGGACAATAGATCTGTCAATCAACGTCAGGCCCTGCTTAGCCGAAGTGCCCGAGGCCTTCTAGTGGACTGCTTGTTGAGAAACTGGAACTAGCCTCAAGCTCCTTCACCCTGTTCCTGCTCCAACTTCCCAATTTCAGCGCTGTGCTAAAAACTGTTTTCCAATTACTTCTATATTTAGTGGTTCCGCTAAAGTGATTTGGATGCAGCCCTAAAAAAAAGACTGTTGTTGCCCACGTCAAACCTTTGGAAATCTGTGTGACTTTATCTGAATCATTTTGTTTTTGTATTTTCTTTCAGGTGGGACCAAAGACATTGGATCCGCATTGACCAGGATGTGTATGAGGCATCGCAGTATAGAGGCCAAACTCAAGCACTTCTCCATGTAAGCAACGCGACACACATTCTACTGCTTGATGTGTTAACCTTTTTATTCATCAGTACAACGTTAATGACACCCACCAACCTGCAGGATCTTATATAATGTATTCCTCGTGCAACTTTGCAGAATTGGCTGAGATGAAAAAGGGTTTTGGTGAGATCTGGGATTCGATATGGGTTACGGCAACAATAAGCCCCATTGCTGTGATTATATTCAGCGAAGAGTGCAAAATTAAGAGGAACTATGTCCAGTAAAGCTTCCCTCTACACACACATTAAAACTCTTTCACATTAAAGTGGTACAATATTTGCTTATGATGAGATTTTTTTTTTTTTCATAACGTTTTAGCACTCATCTGATTGGGCTAAAGTAGGACAGGACAATATAATCTATCATTGATACAAATGTAATACAATGTAATATATAAGTATAGATATTTTTAATAGATTTTTGGATATCGTGATATGGGATAAGTGACAATCTTTTACTGGTCACCTAGACACCATGGCAGTCAAGTAATGTACTCTTGTCAACCTATGGGACGATTATATGTGTGATTATTTTCCTTTACCCCCTGTATCCATGCTAGTGATGATTATTCATCAAAAACTTAATTTCTGTAAATATTTTGTGAAAGCAACAATCGGTCAAAGGTAATGCAACTCAATGATTTTTCTTCATTCAGCGCCTTTTGTTGTGGATAAATTTGGTTGAATTTCCTATATTAGTAACCGTTTATTTCTACCTAAACCGTTTCCTGAATAGCGCAACTCAGTAAAACAGTGTGCATTGAAATCCTGATCTCACCACATCCTCCATGTCTTGACATTTTGTGTGTGAGGGTGAGAATGACCCTCGTCCTGGAATTCTGGTCAAGAGACGATTTGTCTGGCAGCACAGACATCTATAATGTTTCAGTGTAGTCACACACACACACACACACACACACAAGGGTCTCTCTAATTTCGGTTGGCATTTCAGTAAAGATTCCACTTGGATCTCCATAGCAGGGGCTGTACATAGGGAGGGGAGGGGGGCTTGGTCACTACCCACCCACCAACACACACACACACTCTTTGCAGAAATGTCTGCAAGAGGGGGAAGACTAATTTTAGTCCCATGTAGTAAGCGGGCAGCTGTCTACCTCTCACATTCACAGCCTCTTCAACACAATCTCAAATACATCTCAAATACACAGCGAACACGGTTTGGCTGATGATTGACAGATATGAGAGGCTCTGGGATTGGTCAATACAACTTATTTGGGATACTAATTATTAATGAATACTGTGAACTCGAGCAGTTCATGTTTTAGATTAATTTCAGTTGGGACCAGTTCATAATTTTGAAAGGTTCGTCTTGAACAGTCTTGAATTGTTTAACTGGCTGAGGAATAAGTATCCTGGTGTTTCCACAGGGCCTTCCTGGAGGGTCTGATCAACCCTCTGCAGGACCAGGTGGAGGATTGGAAAAGAGGAGTCAACACTTTGGACAAGGACCATGCTAAAGGTAGGACAAACTAATGTAACCACACTCACAAGAAAGTAACACAACATGCTGATGCTGCAATCACTTTGTCATGCTTTGGGATGCTTCTGCAACATTTACAGCAATCTGAGGGCCATGAAGGTTCCCATTCCATTTTTGTTGTAGTCTTCTGTGCCCCAGTATGTCACAGGTGTATGAGAAATTGTATCATAACACAGGTTTCACAAAATCACATGTTTTTACTGTGTCCGTCTGAACCAGAGTATAAAAGAGCCCGGCAGGAAATTAAGAAGAAGTCCTCAGACACACTGAAACTTCAGAAGAAAGCCAAGAAAGGTAAAAAAAATATTTTTGCTTATTTTGCTAAGTGCAGGTGATCTAATACTTAGGGGGACACATCTTGTATCAACAATCTTAAACTATGAAACGGTATCAGACTCTGATGGATGTGACAACTGGGAATGAGAACAGGCTCGTATGTCAGAGGCTTTGTTGCTTTAGTCATCCTCTACAAGTTTATAACTTATTCAGAAGGAATGCAACTACACTATAATACTTAGAGGACTGAATATATAGCATAAAAGCTCAAATAGAAAAATACCCAACTTTTTCCGAGGTTTTCATTAGAGCACAGTGGTGTTTAATAGAAGACGTTTGCCTTAAGTGATCAGAATTGTGCAGATCTGGCGAGGGTAAACATTACCTTACTTGGTAAGCACTCTGAGAGGGACAGGCTTCTTTATTACTGCAGTTCTCTTGGCTCCCGTTCCTCATATGCACCCAACTACCCAGAGGACAAAGTTCCGCAAATAAGGAATTATGCTTCTAGAATGTTTGAGATGTTGGCATTTAGGTGGGTTTCATGAGATGGGATCCTAAAGTTCAGATGTTCAGCAAAATGTTTTTTTAAAACTGTCTTTTAAAAACAACATAAAAGATCAATTTTTCTTCTTACTCCTATGCATTAGATTTAACTCTAAACATATGCTGTGCATTACTTATACTGAAGGCAAGCTGTAAATATATTACGTTTTGATGACACGCTTCAACATTACTTTGATTATCATTAAATACAGTTGCCATAAGCTCAAGCTCAACAATTTTGGAATCTTTACAAAGACATAAACAAAATTAAATTTATTATCTGATAATGGATAGCAAAACCGAATGTTGGTATTGCTTAAATCACTTATTGTTTTGGCATCGAGAGGCATTAGACTGCACCTTTTAGGTGATGCATCAGTGCTGCCACTGCCTCAGTTGACCTGGATCTTTTTTTCCCTCTGCCTGTCCCGTGTGGTTCTGATGCCATCCTCCTCCTTATGCTGCACTGCAGCTGATAATCTGGGTAAGTCAGTTGGTGGAATAGACACACTGTCTGTTTTAGTTTTTTAACAAAGCATATGGGTTGCATTATAAAGAAGCAACCAAATATTGACTTTTGTACAAATATTGAATACGTGTGTCTGCTGCTAAATATTTGGCAACTACATGAACGTATAGTTTGTGAGGCTTTGGTCCCCTATGAGTGAAATCCACGGCCCATACGTTTTAGTGCTGCCTCGTCTACCTCCTCTCATCCATTGTCTGTAGCACTGGGTCGGAAGTCCACGTTGTGAAGCACCTAGAGAGCCTGTGAAGGGTTCTCAACATGGAAGTTGAACAAAGTAGAGCCCTTCGTAGCTGAGCCCTTGCACGATGTTTGAGATAGAAAAAGGATTTCTTTCACTGATGATCCAAAAAAAACGTAGTCACTCTAAGTGAAGAGCACTCCATTTAAGCCCAGAAATAACCGCCTGTCTGTCTGTTTGTGTGTATCTGATGTGTGGATAGGTGTCTTGTGAGGGTGTGTTTTTTTTACCTCAGCCTTGCTAAGTAACGGCCTGTGACTGCAACCTAATGTAATGGAATCATCAATCATGTGAAAGCTGGAGAAGCTAATCTCGTTTTAGTGTTCGGCCTCGTATGCATGTGTGCAGACTGTGCGGGCCCCCAACATATATTAAAAACATATATATACCTGATTTCTGAGAGTTGTTTTACTGTTTTAAGGTAAAACATTTTGATAAATAATAGTGCAACAAAGCAAAGCTTATAAAGACAGACATTGTAACCACTAAATATGTGCAGTGCAGTCATTTGTGTGTCAATCATTGCCTTTTACTCAAAGCGACATACAGTCTCCTTGTCTTTCCCACCGATATTAGAGCTTCTCCTACCTGCCGCTTTGGCTTTGGTGTGAATAAGAAAATGAGATAATCTATATAATCTAAATAGCTTAATCTAATAAAGGGATGATGCTGATTTAAGTTGACTAGCAAAATGGATTACCATTACTTAACAGACATCTACAGTTTGTTGTTGCTGAGTCATCTTTGGGATGTGAATCCAAAAATTCACTACACGTCTGAGGCACCAGTTTTCAGTAATTGAACTCTGAAGGCGAGTCTGACATATTTATTAGGATTGATTTGTTTTCACTGCAGTCAGTGATCTCTGACCTTCAAGGAAGCTCAGTGTTTGTCTGCGGTTGAACAGACAGAGGAAGTAGCGATCAGGGGCCGGCCACTCTCATACATACTCATGCCAGGATGTGCATACGTGAAAACCTTTTTCTAATCTAATGAAACAAGCGAATTGATAATCGGTCAACAGCAAACTGAAGTGAAGGCGTTGAACACTACTAGAGACATTTAAGGTCACTAACAAAGCAACAAAAGAAAATGTTTGGCTCTCCATCCGTCTGGGACAAAGTGCCTCTGCTTGCAGTAGCGTGTTTCTAAACCCACAGTGGTTGTGTTGAGAGGGCCGTCTGCCAAGGCTTGAACTGCACTTTACGGCACGCCAAGGAGACATCACGGGCTGTTGGGCTTTAAAATCTACTTTTCAACATTGAGGCCAACTAAGCCCTAAGGTTTAACGTGTTTTTTCATTAGTATTAAACAAAGTTAATGGAAGTACGGCGGTTTTGTGATTTTTTCTCAATGCCACATCACAACAGTCCTCAAATTCACTAAAAGCATAATTTGTTGCCATGGCAGTTATTAGGCAATGTTCCATATCGTTGAAATAATGTAGTTTTTACTGTCTAGATGCACTTCATAGATGCATGTGTTACGTACGTATTACTTTTATAAAATGATTGACCAGCTGTTTATAACTAGTGATTAAAACATTGTTTGAAACATCAGCCCCTCTTACATATTACTTCCATGGCAGCAGGAGGAAAAAGAGAAACTTTTCTTAGAGGGAAGTGATTAATAATGAGTTTGCTCCTGTAGTGGAAACCAGACTAATGACTGACGTCGGTCTATCCCTCTCAGACCAGCTCGTACAACCAGTTCCCTACAAAACCGTGTACAATATAATGTTAAATATATACGGCAATTTGCAGCAATTTATGGGGCGTCTACTTCCTCACGATCTCCAGAGTTGAGTAATATAGAGGGAACTGCCATAAACACACACATAACTCAGATTCCTCTCAGTGTTCCGGTCACCACACCGACTCCATATGGGCAGTAGAAGAACGGAAAAGCTAAACAGTCGCGTTTCCATCAACTTGGAACTTGTGTCTGTGCTTTTTTCATCATTTTTCCTTGGGGTGTAGTCGACTGATGGAGAGATACAGTTGAGCTCACCCCATGCTGTGTATCGTACACAATGTATAGACTGCCCTGACCCTTAAGAGAGGAAAGAGCACACCTGCTTATGTTTTTCATTTTTGTCGGAGGTGATTTGTCCGTGTAACTTTTATCAGCGTTTCTTTACAACATACCTACGTGATATTGAGCCGTGCGTCAATAGAAGACTTCACACTATTATCCATGCCCTGATGCAACCGCAGACAGACACAGACAGACAGACAGACAGGCCAGGCCACATAGTTTTTCACGGTGGTTTAACCTTAATGCATCAAAGCCAAGACCGTGCGTGTGTGTGTGTGTTTGTGTGAAAGTGTAGTTCAAGTGCTTAGATAAGGCCTTTGAGGCCCTCCTCGTGTAATCTGTGGAAGTCGCCAGCCTTCCTGCCTCCTCAGAGAACTCAGGAGGGGTGGAGCCTTCTTCAGGGTAACCGCACATGGCATCAAAGACGCAGCACACCGTGCTTAACTACAGAGTCACCTTGGGACCGTGACGGCCCTGAGACCTTCCTGGATTCAAATATGCATATTCATACACGCCGCTCACGGACCAGATGGTCTTGGAGATACCTTGCACACCTGTCATTGGTGAAAGCACACACAGAAAAGGGACAACTTTTCGCCGTCACGGTTTACTGGATTGATGTCAAAGACGAGCAACGGTTTATCTTTAAAGAAGATAGCGAGAGACAAGAGGACAAGAGCCGCCCTTCATACTGAGGAGAAAAAAGTGGTGGCCTCGTTCAAATAGCAGCACTCAAGATAGCATCGTCGCCAATGAAAAGCTGTTGGGTAGAGCAGGAGTAACATTCTCAGCCAACACTAGTGAGAAGTGATTAAAAAACACCAAATGCTCTCTCATTGCCACATTGCTCGAGTTAATTTGTGCATGTCACAATAGCATACATCTCATTTTCAGCATTTTTGTGGTGACGGAAGTTAAAGGGAGAATATGGTGATTCTGGGCTGTACGGTTTTTCTACCGTCAGTAATATCTATATTTTCTTTTTCCCAAGGTCGGGGTGACATCCAGCCGCAGTTGGACAGCGCCATGCAGGATGTCAGTGATAAATACATTCTGCTAGAGGAGACCGAGAAACAGGCCCTGAGGAAGGCTCTCATAGAGGACAGACAGCGGTTCTGCTGTTTTGTGGCCTTGCTGCGGCCTGTAGTGGTGAGTACGGCGCGGCAGAGAGGGACCATGCTCACTACTTCATCCCTTTACTAGAGGATGCGTATTCTTTCTCCAGACCATCCGTTGAGAGTTTTTTAAACAAGCGCTGCTTTCAAAAGGAGGGCTTTCAGTGTAATGGATCCTCTAGGATGAGCGCTCATTCTACCGCTCGGCTCTCCTTCTGTCGTTCATCCTTTTAGGATGAGGAGATTTCTATGTTGGGAGAGGTCATCCATCTCCAGGCCATCTCTGATGACCTCAAGGCCCTGACTTCTGACCCACACACGCTTCCCGCTGCTAGCGAACAGGTGAGGGAAAATATCAGACAAAACCGTCCTTTCTCAGACTACCGACATGCATCGCTCTGCGCATCCTTTTAACTTCTCACTGGCGTTAAATATAGCTGATCCTCTTCACAAGTATGACATGTGACTAATATTTCCCTCCCTCTCAGGTGATCTTGGACCTTAAAGGCTCAGACTATGGTTGGTCATATCAAACACCACCGTCGTCCCCCAGCACCACCATGTCCCGGAAGTCGAGCATGTGCAGGTAGGCTTCTACAGACCCAAAGCCGTGAATACATTTACCTGGAAAATGAATGATGTCAGGTTCTTTTCGATGGAATGACGTGAACCAGCATACAAGTTATTGCTAGGTCATGTTGGAGATCGTATGATATGAAATCTGTCCTGTGGACGCTCTCAGTGGATATGGAGACCGCTTAGCTCAGGACAATCTCTGTCTGCCACCCAGTGGTAAACATGGAGAAGTTTGCTAGTTTTGATTTAGCTCCATGTCCTGTTTGATAGTGCTAATTGTTTTCCATCCGCTCAAATGAGTTTGGTTGGACCTCCTCTGTCAAAGAAAAGACACCAGGGTAAATAGACACGTACAAATAAACGGTGTGAGAAGTGCATGTTTTTGTTTCACAGCTGTTCAGGCCATGTCTGCCACCGTCTGTCCTCCCTGCTTTTTGTGTGTCTCGCAATGAACATAACTAGTCTGTTCTAAAGAGCCAAATGTAAGGTGAAGCCGGGGTTCTACATTGCTTTACAATTTTCGGGTTGCGTGATTTCTGTGATTGATTGAACTGAAACACAATGGGAGTCTTTAAAGTCCTTCCAGATTCTCAAATCATTTGCATCATGCAATAGAGGATCATTGTTTTTTAATTAAAAAAATCATGACAGCCGCTTTTATAACTTTGATTCTTTACAATTTTCATCCCTCATTTTTAGTTTGCACGCGATCTGGCACACGTTGTATGCACTTTTTATATTATGAATTGTGCAGTTACCATTTTTATAGCCGCTTCAGATATTCAAATGGTTATTTTTAAGTCTCAATTCACACAGTAATTATACAGAGAGTTTATGCTGTATTTCCTTTTCATGTGATTATTCTCAAAAGGCAAGAAATCCTGCGATTTCCTGCCTGTAATTATGGTCATTATGGTTTCACGCCTCTCATGTTGGTTTGTTGTTTTGACTGCATTGGCCTCAGTCACTGCCTGCTGCATCTTGGTGTGCTGTGTTAATTGTTTCCCACCCTGTCTCTCCCCAATCCCCTGCTTTCATTCCCTCTCTTTTTTTATTTCTTTTGTTCTTTCTTATTCAACCTCCCTTCTTCAATCCATGTCTTTGGGTGCGCTTGATTCCCCCCCCCTGTCCCTGCCAAACTTCTCTTTCCTCTGGTCCTCCTCTCAACCATCACTCCTTCCCCTTTCACAGTAGTCTGAACAGCGTTAACAGTAGTGACTCCAGGGGATCCAGTGGCTCTCACTCTCATTCTCCTTCCTCCTCTTCTTCCTCCTCTTCCTCACACCACCTCTTCCACCACCATCACCCCCGCCAACGGTACCGCAGCTCCACGCTACCCCAGCAGGCCCCGGCCCGGCTCTCGAGCATCTCCTCCCACGACTCTGGCTTCATATCTTCATCGCACGACCAATTCACATCGTCCAAATCCTCCTCGCCCATGGCAGCTGAAACAAAGGTAAGAATGATCCTCAGCGCCCCACACTTTACTATATTTTGGTAAGTATGTACACATGGTTGAGACTATAAACCACAAAATGCCCTATGATTTTCAAGGGATTGTAGTAGGACAACCCCAAACCACCAATCCACTCAAGTCTTTTCCCACACAACTTCCTTACTATGGGAGGCCGTTAGCTGGCAGCAGTAGCACTGATCACGTCATTTTACTGCTACTATTATTGCCCAAATGCCCAGGAAATTAGTCGGCCTCCATTCTATCCCAGGGCAAAAACAGGTCAGCCCCATCCTGCTATTAAAGTGCTGACTGCTGTGACAGACTGTGGTTTGGCTTGAGCATGCTGCGTGTTGTATTTTCATTAAAGATATCTCAGTAAAATAACACAGTTACACTGTCAACGGCATATTTTAAAAGCAGCAGGAGTGCGTCTCTATCAACGGGTCTCATTCTGTCAGTTTTATCCAACCATCCGACACGAGGTTTAAGATAATCATCAATGTGGTCATCCAAGGGATTATCTGCTCGGGGGTTTGTGGTTTGAGATCATCCATGAGAAGCGGCAGCACATGCTGACATTGTTTTCGCACGCCAGAGTTTCCCCCGTCCAGAACACATTGGTATCATTAGACTCCCTGGTTTGGCAAGTCCATATCCGCCTCATTTACAGTAAACTCCCGGGGAACCGGCTCTCTTGTAGCCTCACATCGTGGGTGAGTGGTTCAGGGGGGAACAGTCTCAGGGCTAAACAGAGGTTTACTCCTTAACCAAAGGTCCATAAGGTCATGGCTAACACTTAATGTGGATCCCTTTCATTACCATCTATTTCCAACAACCACTTCTATGGAGGGCGTAGTTCTTTAACTGGCCCAAACTCCTTATCCTCCCTTCTGTGGAGCGCAGTATGCAAAAAGTGATTTCCCTTTAAGCATATTACTAAAGGCACAATGAGTATGATTTTCCTGAAAAGACAGCGGGGCATCCAGGAGGTCGCGACGGCGCTGGCAGACAGCTCTGGAAAAAGCGCATATCTGACGTGGGGAAATGCCCAGCAGAAAAATCTCACTCCATAACGAGAGCGAATCTGGGGTTGCCTTTCAACCGCTGGCAAGCACCCAAACCCCCTTTGGGCCGAGGGAACGGGGGGGACGGGGGGGAGGGGACTTTGAAGTTGGATTTGGAACCAACAAATCCTTCTCCTTGTGCCTTTTTAACCTTATTAAAGTCACCGGGGCTAATGGATGACCCACATGTTGAGTTTGTGGGGAGTCTTTCAAAGAGGAAAAACCTGCCTGTGCTTCCTGTAACAAAACTGCAACACCGCTGATCCACGCAATGTACTCCGGTACGACTCCCAGTGCGCCCAGTCGTCACTTGGCTGTACTCCTCACTAACTGCTGAGAGCGGTGGAAAGTCGCCTGTTCTCTCTAACAAACTGCTTCTCTCTGCTCGTCTACCTGCTGACACGTCTGTCTTTTGAAACCTCCCCCCACCCACACCTGCCTCCCCCTTTCTGCTCTCCCCCCTGGCGTCGTCCCCGCTGCCCGCTTGCCCGCTGCTCTCGCTGTCCCAGCCTCAGCCCAGTTCCAGTCCCTCTGAGGTATCAGAGACTGGGCAGCTGCGCAGTGACTGCAGCGCCCCCTGTCCTCTGGCTGCTGCTGGTGCACCTCGGCACGCTCCTGACCAGGTGAAACACACTCGTCCACCACCACCCTCGTACTCGCTCCTCTTTCACGTAAATGGCCGTGCGGTGTCAGCATTACACGGCGACGGCTTCGTCCAGCTAGACTTCAAAGTCTTTCTCGCGGAAATGTTAAAGGAGCCCCCCCCCCCCCCCCCCCCTGCCTCACAGCCCGCAGCTCTTAGTCCTCATTTAAGCCCTTAGGATACCTGGTTTTTAATTTTATGATCCAGCCCCTCTCCGCTCTCCTCCTCTGGGGAGCGCTCCATCCGGGGTTCATCTGGATCACACACACAGACACAGATTTCCAACTGTGCGAAATAAAATGTGCCACAAGTGGCGTCAGTGTTTTTTTCTTTTTAATGATGTTGTGTTTGTGTTGTGTGAAGCGGGTCGCGATGGTGTTCCCCGTCTCCCTCACATATTGTAATCCACATTGTACACACGTGATGAGGTAAACACAGTTCTTAGACTTGGTGTTTCCCCTGGCTGAGTTCAGGAAAACGTCTCCCGTGCTGTGGCTTTGCAGCCATTTTCTGTGTTTATAAAAGGCATCACTCTGACCTCTCCCCTTAGTGCTGTGCAGAGGTTTTAATTTGGCCTTTACCAGATAATCCAGTAGATTCTTGTTTCTCCTGTAGGCCGGGATGATCCTGTGGTCCTGCAGGACAGAAGACCCTGTGGTGGGGGAGAGGAATCTCCTTCTGCATCCTCTGACCAATGCCATGTTGAAGGTGAATACGTGGTGACAAAGGGGAGACTGGAGCCCACAGTAATAGGCTTCTTCTCTAGAAATGACCTCTGGCATTTTCTGAGAAAGGTCTAAAAGAACCCCTGGTGGACAAAGCGTGAAAGATAACCCACTGCAACACGGAAATCCTCTT